GGTAGGTAAGGTAGGTAAGGTAGGTAGGGTAGGTAGGTAGGTAGGTAGGTAGGTAGGTAGGTAGGTAGGTAGGTAGGTAGGTAGGTAGGTAGGTGGGTCGGTAGGTCGGTAGGTAGGTAGGTAGGTAGGTAGGTAGGTAGGTAGGTAGGTAGGTAGGTAGGTAGGTAGGTCGGTGGGGTAGGTAGGTCGGTGGGGTCGGTAGGCAGGCAGGCAGGCAGCAGGTAGGTAGGTACGCAGGTAGGTAGGTAAGTAGGGGTAGGTAGGCAGGCAGGCAGGCAGGCAGGTAGGCAGGAAGGTAGGCAGGAAGGTACATAAGTAAAAGGCAGGTACGTCGGTAAGTAGGCAGGCAGGTAAGTAGGCAAGTAGGTAGGTAGGTCGGTCGGTGAGTGGGTGGGTGGGCGGGTGGGTAGGCATTAAGTGTAGGTAGATAGGTGGCATGCATGCATGGATGCATGAACGCATGCACTCACGTGTGCATGCATGCCTGCATGTGTGCGCGCAAGTCTCTGCATGTGGTCAGCAGACGCCAATGCAGAAAATCTGTACATGCATTGTGCATCAATTTTCTCTCTGTTATGTGCAGCCAGCGGCAGCCACCTAAACATAATCGACCGGTTCTACCAGTTCAAGTTTAGGGTTCTGCCTGCCAACATGCAAAACAACCCCGGCTTGTTTAGCCTGCGATTGCACAGTCGAACCTGTTGGGCACGAGCCGCAACCATCCCCTGACACATCCTGACAAGTGGGAACAGCACCAACGACGAGATTGAAATCGTTGGAGAACGCCTCATGGATCAGAAGCCGCAACACTCCCACACACAACAACCCCAACCAATCCGACGGTTTGGGATTGAAGTTACTGGGGGAAGTGCCTAAGGCGTTGAATGAAACATGATGAAGGAATTGGTTCTGAAGAGGGTGGCATCTACGACTCGGCGACACGAAGTGTGGATCCCAAGCGTCAGGCAGGTCTACACACGCCCTACAGCTCAAACTCGAACCTTTGCCTCAGGATACTCTACAGTAGCATGCCGTGCTGTATTGCATTTGCTTCATTGCAATGCATCCGGACACCATGCTGGGTTAGACGGTCGTAGGTTACTTTGGTTCATCGCATCTTTTGTGGTATAGTATACATCGCCAGCATGCAGGCATATGTGTAGAGAGACAAAGGAAACAGTAGACACACACACACACACCCACCCACACACACACACGCACACACGGCTTTCCAAAGCCAGGGTGCATCAATCACGTGGCTAGGTCCTGCCAACATCGAGGTGCCGGTGTCCACTGCCACCTGGCCTGACACACTGGGCTGATTGTTGCAACCGTATCGATAAGCACTACATAAACCACAATGCGCAGCGGCCTTCCTGAGGAACCGAGATTTTTGCCTGTGTGCGAGCTAGCGGCAGTCTGAGCACAGACTCTGCCTTTCGTTGTTGAAAGCGATGTCCTCCATTTGCACCTGCCGCCAGGCATGTCGACAATCCAATTCTGGGACGCAACAGCAAAAGCTGTGGCATCTACAATCCGACTGGCAGCTGTTCCCACGCGCACCTGCCAGTAGCCGGTGTGCCTGGAGACCGGCACCCAAAACATCTGGCCAACCATGCGCTCCTGCTTGATGTCGCCGAACCTCAAAATCAGCACTTTTTGATCAGACAGGTCTCCACTTTCCTAGGAAAATATCATCAACATAGCCTATCATAGCCTCTGATCGCTCCATGCACTGACACATTCTTGTCCGTGCCGAGACGCGTGATCTCAGAGTCCTCGTCATCCGAATCCGACAAGAACACGGAGAACAAAGCATGCTTCAGGTTGCCCGCGGCTTCCATGCCTTCGATACAGGGCTTCCTGACAAGAAAACTCAGGCTTCCTCCCTTCCGGGTTTTTAGGGTTCATTATAGTAGACTTTTAGAAATGAGCCGCCAGGACGAATACTGGTAATTGCTTAGACAGTTCGCACCACGAAATCGCTCTCAGCCGGGCCACGGTTCATGAGGCTGAAGTTGGGGCCCTGGGTCATTCCAGACAGAGCCAGGCCCAGGACCCCATCGAAGTTGAAGGACCCAAAGGGCTCCTTGCATTACCGGGTAATGCAGTGGCCAACCGCATGGAACATGATGTGCAGACCGCCACTTGCACATGCATATGTGTTGATATCTACGCGACTACAGGGGACCATATGTATGAGTACATGATGTACATGCGCAAGCAGGCATGCATCGCGAGCAAAGGCAACACTTAAGTTGCTTGCATACCATGCTTGGACCGGGCACGTCCGATGCATGACCATGTATACACATGCAGAGAGAGGTGTGCAGAAACGGAAGAAAGTTGATTCTATGTTCACAAGAATCTGCACATGCCCAAACTTGTTCGCGTGAATTCTGGTGGGAAGCGAAAGCGACTTTCGCAAGAACACCGGTACATTTTGGGGATGTGTTTGGTGACTTCGTCTTGAACGCTACGGGAGATGTACCGAGGTACGAACCGTATCGCACAGGTCCAACATTGCATAATCATAACACCACACTCTGAAAAGCAAACGGAAGCACGGTCTTTAACATCCCTAAACATCTGTACGAGGTCTTGGGACACACTGGCCCTTAGTAGGAATGCTGGAACCAAGGCTTGCGAATGCAGCCCACAGCATTTCCTCGGTTTCGTGGGAAGCACCGATGAACTCCATGTTCGCGCAGAGATTGCCGATGCAAACATCATCTTTCAAGAAGACGCCCGTGATCCTGAGAGTTTAAGGCTTAAGGGTTTGGGGTTGAGGATGTTGGTGCTTCACGCACATCCATGCACCACTACAAACTCAGGGGAACCTTGTGGATTCTAGTCTTGACGCTCTGTTTTTTTCCGATATTTTTGGACCCAAGCCGCTCCCCTGTGCCGAATGTGACGGTTAGCTGGTCCCGCGACTCGAAAGCGCCAGCCGGCTGTCCGTTCGACTGCATATTCCTGGGCTTTGGCGCCTTTAGGGTTCAGGGTGAAGGGTTTAGGGCTTTGGGTTTGTCTATCCTGCCAGGGCTCCTGGCTTAAAGGATGATTTCGACTTCGGGGTTCTCTCCTTCTGGCGAGTCAAAGCCTACAACCAAAGTCTGCTCCAATGTAATGTTGCGAACGGATACATGCTACAAGGAGGCATGCCATGAGCCTTGTTTCAACCGACATGTCGAAAGCTATGCTAAATGCAAAATTGGCAGAAACAGGTACAACAGAAACGAAGTACAAACATAAAAAAGGCAGAAGGAGCGGGCAGTGAAAACATTCCATCAGCAAGAGTGGTTCAGGAGCTGCGGGTTCCGGATACTTTTCAGGGTCCCAAATATGAAGTCTGCCCGAGCCACACCACGGTCTTGGACAAGGAAGGATCGAAACGCTTGTGCCTAGCAGGGAAATCCAAATTGCATCGGCGACAACCCACCACCTAGTCAGAAAGCCGTGCAAATCAGGGTTCATAAGGAAATACATGGGAATACAACTCCAAAAAAAGCAAGGCAGAAGCCTTTGGCAGGCGCTGTCCGTGCATAGTGTGGATGGGACCATCAGGTTACCACTGCCTTCGGCACAAGAGAAGTGGGACTTGATTGAAACGGCGCGACGCATCTGAATTTCTGCTGCTACTTTTATGACAAGTCCGTGGCTTCCCGAGGGCAAGGGGCGAAAATCCAAAATTTAAAAGAATCTACTTCCACTTCACATTCAACTGTGGTCTTTGTGCCGATTAGCCTGTTGCTTTTAGTCCGCCTTCATCCGACTCTACTCTCTCTCTCCGGGCACGGCACAGGTATGGAAAGGCATGGCCGTCATCCGAGCAATTCAGGACCACAGCTGGGAGCGGGCCAGAAAAGCCGGGGTGGCGCCGGGCCTGTGTCGAACACGACAGTTATGGTCTGCGCCGGCTTGCTAATGTGGATGTTACCGTAATACCTCGAGCAGCCATCCAAACAAAGGCCTGCCGGAACCTCGCTACATCCAGGTCTCAACCCTCTCACCATACACCTATAGGTCCTATAGGTGCCTCTGCTGGCTTTCCCTTGCCTCAGCCTCAAGAAAACAATGCGGGAATATGCTGAATGTTCCGAGTCAGTTCTGGCTCTGGGGTTCTGAGGTTTGTTCTCCCTGCGGCAGGATGTGGAGCTGAGGGGTGAGGGTCTGGTTTTGCAACCTTTTGCACTTGGTCGTCCAACGCCAAGCTGCGCTGTCTTGTGGACAACGCGGCTGAAGGCATCGTTCGTGCCCTTCATGGCGGCCTTGATGTGCTGCATTTTCTCGGATGCCGAAATGTTGGCACGCTTCAGGATCACCTCAATGCAGCACACGGAGACCCAACACCAAAACGTTTTCCATGTGATCGAGCCGCGGGTTGTTACGTTGGGGCATGGTGGCTCTGGCTGGCTGTAGATTGCATCTGTTTACGCTTGTTGACCATGCCCTATGCATCCTCAATCGTCTCGTCGGAACGAGGGATTGTGTAAAAAGTGCTAACGGGGCGCTGGAAAGCTGAAGGTAGTTATGGCCAAAACATTTCTTTGGCGGACGAGGTTTGCGTTGGCTCTGAACATCCGGCTGGGGGGCTTAAGAATGTTATATAATGTTATTTTTGCTGGCACACACGCACACCTCTTTTACGTCCGTCCACCCCGCGGTCCCAGTGCACATTCTGTTTACATCCTGCTCGGTTATGCCTCACTGGACTGTGCCATGTTGGCACTGAACGGCATAAGCGATCAACAGTACCATCTTGAGGAAGCCACAAACACATCCCACAAAGGGCATCACGACGCCCAAACAGTTGCGCAAGGAGAATAGGCAACGTCAACAAACGCCGGCAATCCTTACCTTCAAATCCTGCCCACGCGCCTTTCACATGAGGGATCCCAAGCAACACACCCCAAAAACTGCATCTGCCAAGGGGCCGAATGCGAGGATCGCAAACCCGTCCGTGCAGTGGCCTCTCCCGCTTGCAGGGATGAATCCGATGACATTCGGCTGTTGGCCGCATTGGCATTCGTGCCTGGGGGTCGCAGGACTCGCAATGGGTCAGGGCAGGTGAACATTAGTTTTTAGTCTGCGTGTAATCAGTTTCCTCGGTATGATTCTCTCGTTAGCTTCTGGCTCTTAAAAATTTAAAGATACTGCAGTGTGTCGCACGGGCTGTACCGTCGTGACAACATGTGACAACCAGTTACCTTTTTTAGCGGTGCTATACTGTACTGCGTCGTTCTCCGCTCACGACTGTGAGGGCGCAGTTTTGTATATTCAGGCAAGTCACCGACTGCCAGCACAGTGCTGCAAATGGCAAGCCTGCAACAGCTACTGCACTGGTAAAGCCTGCAAATCTCTCGCTGACTTTGCATTTCGACACTGCCGCGGACCGAAAAAGGCAACCAAGGCACGCGACTGAAAAAAGAGTTGCTGATGCGCGGCCCATGGCGAACTACAATGGTCGGATAACCCAAGCACAAATGCTGGGTTTGCCAGGTCGGAACGCGCGTTTTCTCGGCAGCGTCCTTGCCCAGCTTTTCGAGCCGAATGCGAAGCGGAACCCGGGTGGCATCTTTCGATCCGAAGCTGCTACTTTCCGGCAGGTGCCCACAGCCGCGCCCGGTCTGCAGAATGCATGCATCTGTGCCTATGCGCTTCGGTGGTCCGCCCTGCTCGCCTTTGCCGCTGGGCGCGCCTTCGCCATTCCGGTGCAGCGAATATGGACGGAGACCTTCCTGTTCTGAGCGACCTCCTGGCCGAACCATCGGCCGCTCCTCCTCTTGCCAGCCCGCATGCCCTGACCGGCCTACGTAGTCTGGCCTCGGATTTGGGCGACAAGCACGCCGACGGCGTGAACAGCAAAAAAAGTGCATAGGCAAAAAACCAATAACGATCTCAAATGACTGGTTGTGGTTGGACTGGTCAGGTGCACAAGTGTTCCTAAATGCTAAAGCCTTTGCAACCATGTGTTCGTGAACGAATTCCAACTTACCAGCGTGCCTGCAAATAGTGTCCTTAAATCGGCTTGCGCCGATAAGACGGTGGAAGGCTCGCGGACGGGGCAGACGCCGATACGCCGATACGCCGGTCGCGGGCGCGCTCACTGGAAATACGCCGATGCGCCGGTCGCGGGCGCGTGGAAGGGAAATACGCCGATACGCCGATACGGGGGTCGAGGTCACCCACCCCACCCCACCCCCCTCCACTCACCTGTCATGTTTCACGACATGAACCTTAACCTTATAAGTCGGGTAACTGGAAAATGAATTTCTACAGTTGCCTGCGGAAGGCCCAACCTGGCTCACTCGAGCTTGGCATGAAGGAAGCGGAGAATGGTAGAAGGCTGTGCTGCAGGCGCTCGCCGTCGCGCACTGTGGTGATGGCACTGCCAAGCATGTGTGGCGGCCTGTGTCAAGGCGCCTGCTGCGGCGTGGAGAAGTGGCACAAACAGCCAGGAACTTCTTGGGGTGGGGGGCGGCATCTTGCCAGCATTTGCCAGCTTCGTGGCTCGCGGGCGGGTTCGCCGGGCATTGAGCTCGGCGGGCGCAGGACAACCGCTTGGCATTGGCACGGCGGTGAGTGCGGTGGAAGGGGCGTTCCCCCCTGGATGCCTCCCCAAGGGAATAAAACGAACGATGTGCTTGTGGCCATATATCCAGCCGGCGTGAAGCCAGGTGTCGCCTCGTCGGGTGCTGCCGGTGCCATCGCCTGGACCACCACGGCGTGAAGCGAAGGGAGTGGCAGCGCTGAGGGTGTCGGAGAGTGTAACTGCGGCATCGGTCTCGGAGCCGTTTCCATTGTCCTCCTGTTGGGCTCCATTCGAAACGACAGGACCGGCGGGGTGGCAAAGGCCCATCTGGGCGAGGGCCTGCAGCGTGCGATGGCGTACGTTTAGGGGGGGGCTCTTGGGTGGCTCCGACAGCTTTCCGGGCAGAGCACGGGCGCTGCATCGCTTTTTAAGGCCATGCCAGGAGGTATGCCGGGGAGGTCTCTGTACATCAAAAACAGCAGGGACAATCAGTGAGACGCCCGTCGATCTCTCAGCGCATGGCCTCGAGCACATCAGCCACGCCCCGCAGCAAAGAGCTCGTAGCAGCATGGTACATGGCGGCGCGCGCGGCCTTTCACCAGGGCCTGGATGCGGCGAAAATGTGCGCAGACGTTGCACAACCCGTCGTCCTCGCCGGAAGGGTCCCGAAAGCGGCAGATGCGGCAAGGGGCCATAGCAGAGCAGGCGGGGCTCCAACTAGTTGACACAAGTAAGGCTGTAAAAATGGCTGCGGTCGAGCAAGCACCGAGACGCACAACCGCAGGGCAAGCATTTTTTCCTTCACGTTTTTCAGCTCAAGTCCGCGGTCTCGAGCCTAGCCCCCATCTACCGGCATCTAGGGCATCTAGGGGCAAAAATGTACAGAAAGGACAACTGCAGAGAGAAGGCAACTAAGGAAACCTCTCAGTGTGCCTGCTCATTGCCTTGCCCATTTTAAGGACCCCCGGCAGCCGCAGTCCCAAAACTCCAGAAGCCACCCACACAGCCACGCAGCGGCAATTGGTGGGGGCATGGAAGTCAAGGAAACTGAGACGGGTCCGCTTCGTTAAGTTTGGGGACAGACTACAAGGAATGTCCAGACAAGGATCCGTCATTATTCGATTCATCGATCGCGCACCATCACGGCTGATGTAATCCACAGGCATGCAATGTCCCCGTGGGCGGAACTCGCAGAGTCAGGAATCTAGAACATATTAGCCAACAGAAGCGGCTTTGCTTAAAGCACCACAGAAGGACAACGAAAAAGCAAAAAAGGCGACAGTGGAAAAAGGAAAAACAAGCGGTTTAGGTTAAGGCACCACAGCTTGAGGAAACAAATCTCTCCAAGAAGCTACAGAGACCTTGATGGGCCCACTAACGTCTGCCGACATCACAAAACACGTCGGGTGTTCTATGCGGGAGTGACGGCACCCAGTGGCGCCCGCGGTGACGCAAGTGACACAGTCCGAACGATAAGGTAAGTGACCTCTACGTACATGATCGCGTCATTGTTCTGCAGACATCTTTAACATCCTCGGGGCCGTCCGTTGTGCTCGAAGAGCTATAGCAACACACTCTGAAAACTCCACAGTCCAGACTGAAGGAGGGGAACGTGTAGGCGGCGAGTCATCATAGTCCACTGGGCTTTGGTACAATCCATCCAAGTGCTTCAAGCTAAGTTGGGTCCCAATGGTTGTATATCTTGACATAGCCTTCCCCAGCGCCTTCATATCAAACGGATGCGTAGCCAGACCTGCTTCCTCCCTGTAGCCATTCCAGAGTGAGGTACGCCAGAAGCTAACTGAATCTGTGAAGAGTGGGTCCTGAAAGTCCAAATAACCTTTTGGATCTTGTGATTCTTGTGGCTGCTATAACAAGAAACCCACTTCCTTCACATCCCGAGCCTCCGCTGGATTCTTGCACCTTCCCGCCGTAGACAACGCATGAAGATACACATCCTGGCAAACAGTCCTGTATGCTTGTTCACCAGCGCAAGGTCCTTTTCAGACTGACCGTACCAGCCCCCATATGGGTGTCATTGCTCCTTACAGGTTCTGGTCCAGGGGTTGTACATCTTCGCAAAATGAAAGTGTTCTGTGGAGACCCACCAAGAACTGCTGCAGTACGACCATTCCTTGCTGCCCAAACCAAGGCCTTCCACACACGTGGATCGTATAGGTCCTGTGATTTTCCTCGCTCCAAGTCCAGCTCAAGAACATCAAAGCCCTGTCGCTCCAGAAAGTGAATTGACTCATTGGGCCTCTTCCCCACAAACAGGTGAACCACCCATTGGCGAGAGCTCCACAACCTCTTCCTCGTTCTCCTGTTCAGGTGGATAAGCCCGCGAAGAGCTTCCCAACCATTGTCCTCAGCTATTGCCTCAGATATACCATAAAGCGCCTCCTGAGGTACATCACGGAAGACTGGCGCTGACTGTACTGCCATCATGGAATCCACCCCAGCTCCGCTGTCGCAAAAAGTCAACATATGATAATACCACGTTTTGTTGATGGCAGTGACAGCCTCCCTTATCTTCGTCCTTGAAGCTGCCACAAGAAGTGCTTCAGCATCTCCAACTTCTTGTCTTCAACTCACATGCTCGAGCTGCTGTCGCTGAGGGTGAGAAAACTTTTAAAAAAAAACTACTCAGGAGCCCAGGGACTCAGACAGCGAGCATCGCGTGTACCGGCGCTGCAGGATTGCTCGTGCTAAGGCTTGCACGTCCGCCTCCGCAGCTGCGGGGCGGCGATGGTGCCGGCCCCCGCGCCTGTTGTGGCCTTCTGCATCATGATGTTTGCCAACGCCCTTGCCTCCGCGGCAAGCGTGCCGGGTCGGGGCAGTGCCGCGGTCCATTGCGCGAGGCCGCCCAGGTACACAGGCCCAGCGCGGGCGGCAGCAGCCCCAGGTGCTCCAAGTGCGGCAGGCATGGCCGCAGCGGGGCGGCTCGGCGCTGGCGCGGCTGACTCCGCTGAACCCCCGGAGCGGCTGCGACTGCGGCTGCGACTGCGGCTGCGACCGCGGCCGCGGCTGCGGCTGCGGCTGCGCTCCCGGTGAGCTTCTTTCTGTATAACCTCAGGACAACCACCACGTACCCTAAGGGACACCACTTCGCCGTCCTTGCCAATTAGCTGGCATCGCGAGCCAGACCACTCCATGGTATAACCCAAGGTTCCGACCAGTGATCCCAAAGGTGCGCTAGGCGCAGTAGGCGCAGACGATACACATCCTGTGTTGGCAGTCATAGGCACCAGAAGTGTGCCCGCCTCGTTCATCAAATGAACAACAACTGCACTGGCATCATCCCACTCTTGATTACTCCACGCCCTCCTCAACGGATGTGTTGCACCTGAATCCACCAATGCACGCGCTTCACTCGAGCTATTCTCCCCCGCCGCTGCCACCATGGACACAATGGACACCACGTTGATATTCGGCGCCTTTGGTTCTGCAGGCGCTCCCGCCAACTTGGCAGCTGCATGAAGGAGAGCTTCCCAAGAGAGCACTGGTTGGCCCGGTGGCTCGAGACCGCGGACTTGAGCTGAAAAGCGTGAAAAAAATCCCCTGATCTCATCGGAGAGTTCTTTCCCTCCGGTTCAACCTGCGCCTTGTGGACCCCAGGTGTCGTGGTTGGCGCTGACGACGGCTGCGGCCGCTCTGTAGTCCTTGTAGTAGATGTAGCTGACGCATTCTTGTCCCTCTTGGAATTCACGTTGCCTATGATCTTCTGCCCCGCATGTTCAGTACTTTCGTGCTCGTTCCTGCTTGGACAACGTCTCCATACTGTGCTGAAAAGGGCACTTAGCACCGCGTCGACAGCCTGATTGGCGTAGAAAATATTTGCACTGCTTTGCATCCTTGGTTGAGGTAGGTGACGTTGGCTTTGAACCCGTAGTAGCTGAAGCCTTCACAACCGGTAC